TATAGCTTTGGAAAAAGTGCAGAAAAGGGCAACTCGAATGATAAAAGGGTTGGAACACTTTCCCTATGAGGAAAGGTTAAAGCGCTTAGGGCTCTTTAGCTTGGAGAAAAGACGACTGAGGGGTGACATGATCGAGGTTTATAAGACTATGCATGGGAAAGAGCAGGTAGAGAAAGAGGTACTTTTCTCCCTTTCTCACAATACAAGAACTCGTGGGCACTCCATGAAACTGCAGAGCGGTCGGGTTAGAACGGATAAAAGGAAGTACTTCTTCACCCAAAGAGTGATTAACACTTGGAATTCACTGCCACAGGAAGTGGTGGAGGCTACAAGCATGGACGGCTTCAAAAGGGAATTAGATAAGCATATGGCGCAGAGGTCCATCAGTGGATAATATCTTGGTTGTTGATGAGTCCATTATGATCCATTCTTATTACTACCATTTCTATTTCTCGTTGTCATTCTTTGTGGACTACTTTCCATGGATGGTTTTTTGGCTGTGCTGGCCTCAAATCCTTCATCCGAGGCTATTGAGTAGGCTGATGCTTCCTCTTCTTTTTCCGTTGTAGTAACTTTTGTTTTTGCTTTCTTTGTTTCTTCCCATTGTAAAAGTTTTCCATAACGATCCAAAAAGTCTTTTGCCTTAAAGATGGAGTCCAATCTAAATCTTTAACCTTCAAATGTGAAAAAACTCCTTCTGGAATAAGCCATTGAAATGTAATTGAATTTGCTGTCAGTTTGGAGATCAGAAATACATATTCTTTCCTGCTTTGTCTTATTTTCCAGGGAATTTCTCTTACAATCTTTACTTCCTTGTCTTGTATTTTAAGAGGATTATTCTGTGCTTCTTTCCATGCATGATCTCTAACCAACTTCCTAGTAAATTTCACATGTACTTCCTTTGGAAGATTACTCTTCCTTGCATAGGCAGAGTTAGCTCTATATAAAAAGTCAACCTCCCTCTCCATTTCTTCATATTCAACTTCCATGAAGTCTGCCAATCCTTCTGCCATAACTCTGATTAGCTCTTCTCCTTTTTATTCAGGTACATTCTGAAATCTTAGTATATAAGCAGCTCTATCCATTTCCAATTGAATCAGAGAGTCCAGGGCCATCTTCTGCTGTGTATCCAACCTGTCCATCATCAATGATGCTGCTTCAGTTTTCTCTTCGGCTTTTTTGGTTTGTTGTCCCACCTCTATTATTTCCTTATTTTCTAGTAGTTGTTCGTTAAGATCAGCCATTTTAACTTTTACATCTCCAATCTCAGTGTTTAAGTTTTTCATTTGATCTGTGACTTGTATTAAGGCTGTCTGCACCTGATTTAGGTCCGATTGTAGTCTGTCTTGCAGATCATTCTGCACCTGGCTTAAATTTACATGAAACTTAGTTTGCATATCCGTCTGAGTTTGGCTCAGGTTAGTTTGAAAGATAACTTGCATATCATTTTTAAAGTATTTCAGAGATTCTAGTGTCAACATAGTTCCCAGTGATTTAGTCTCTGTGGTAGGCGAAGATGCTGCAGATGTTAGGGGAGTATTTTTCTGAGTTGGTTTACTCATATTCCCGGTTTATAAAAATTATTTTTATTGTTATACAATTAATCACCCAAGATCTATTTGTCCCTCCCCCTTATTTTCTATTTTACCAGGCTCAATATTAAAATATCAAGAGCCAATATCAAACCATAAATTAAACTCAATATTATAAGTATCTTCCAATCCAGACCCCCCCAAAATTTTCACTTAAATTATGCTACTAGTTTATAACACTTTAAATGTAACATTCATCAAATAAAAATTCTCTAAGCATCTTTTAGTACACACATACACAAACACACATAAACAAACCAGGGGGGGGAAATGGATAGATTACAGGCCTCTTCAATTGTTCCTGTGTCTCCTCAGTAGCCCAAGCACATCCTGTTTCAGGGCTCTTTACAATTATACAGATCACAGTTAACTTCCAGTTCCAGTTTAATTAGCTCCCAATATATTCCAAGCAAAAATTGAAATGGAGGTAGATCCAAAACCAATAGCAGATGGGAAATAATAAAGGAAATCCAAACTTCTTTTATATTCCAACCAGGTAAAATCCAATAAAGTCTAACAGGTAAAGATCCATTTTCCATTAGTAATAATAACTTAAAAGCTACAAAAAAAGTTATCCAACAAAGGTAGATGGAAAAATACAATAAAAGTAGGTGGAAAAAACAGTCAGTCTTTACCAAATGTATGATCCAAAGGTAGCTATAAGAGTAGCCAGTGTTTTCCAGCTTTATAATCCAACCAAAGTGGGTAGCAACATAGCTTCTAACTTCTAATTACCACTTCTAGTTACCGTCCAGCTTACATTCTGCAATCTTCCTTTCCCATCAACAGGAAAAACCAAATCCAGTTCAGACATCAAATTCTAATTGCTTTTAACTCATTATTCCCTTTAATTACAGTTTTTCTCCGTCTCAGGGAGATAAGAGAACGTGAAAGTTAAATGCATGTAGTTAGCAAAAAAAAGGAGGGGGATAATCAGGCTTTAAACACCATCTCTCATATTTGTTCCCTCTCCAAACTTCCTTGTTTAAAAGTATTTATAGCCAGATAGGGAGGGTAAACATTTACATCTTTAACTCACGGTTTTGAGACGTTTGCAGACATATTCTCTTTGTTGTTTATCTACGCTGTTCCATGCAAGCAGCTGAATACCAAAATGGTGCTGTGCCCACTGGGAGATTGGGGCTTATCTCCAGGTCTCAACCCTCAGTCTAGCCGACAGAAGTGATCCAAAAATGCACCCCGCTATTTTCAGAGACCCCTTCCAGGGGCCTCCTTGGGTCTAGAGTCCTCTAGAACCTCAAAAGAGAACATCCCTGGAGCTCCCTGGGACGTTACTGACCTTGCTGCTGCATCAATCCTAACGCACATACTTTTCCAAACTAAAGTAGTTAGACAAAAAAAATGATTTTCTCACTCAGCTCAAGAAAGGCACAGTCTCAATGGAGGAATTCAAGGGGGGGAATGAAGAGTCAGAGGTGGGGAGTAAGCCTTGGCCCACGGCTTAGTCTTGGTCATTTCTGACTTGTGGAGACTGAGGCGGGGGGGGGGGGGGGATGTCTTTGGCCTTTCTGGGTTGGGGGGGCGGGGGGGGGGGGGGGGGGAGTTTCCACAGTATGGGAGAATCTTATTTCTCTCTCCTGATTCTCTCTGAGAGAATCTGGGGGTGAGCGGGGAAGATAGCTGGGACTTGGAAATTCGGGCCCCACAGTGTTCACACTGAAACTCCCAACAATATCTGCCCATTTCTACAATATTGTATTTATATGGCAGTCCAACCCTTTTTATGGAGCTGCGGTGGCTCAAGTGGTTAAGACGCTGAACTGCAGGTTGTGGAAGGTCGGTAGTTCAGCATTTCGAGACCCGAGTGTGCCGCATGATGGAGTGAGCTCCCGTCTCTAGTTCCAGCTCCTGCCAACCTAGCAGTTTGAAAGCAAGAAATTGCAAGTAGATAAATAGGTACCGCTTCAGTGGGAAGGTAACAGCGTTCCGTGCGCCTTGGTGTTTAGTCATGCTGGTCACATCACCACGGAAACGTCTTCGGACAGCGCTGGCTCTTCAGCTTGGAAACGGAGATGAGCACCGCAACCCTAGAGTCGGATTCAACTGGCTTTCGAGGAAGGGAACCTTTACCAACCTTTTTGAACTTGCTGGGTAGTTAAGCTGGGGGACATAACCATTTCCTTTCATTCCAAATTAATCCTGCTTCCAGAACTCTCTGGGCTGCAAAACAGAGAGATCCCCAAACGCTCACAGCAGGCTGAAATGGGGAGGATATTTATTTATTTATTTATTTACATGTGACTTCTATACCGCTCATGACCCCTACTGGGTCTCAGAGCGGTTTACAAGTGGACTACATTATTGTAGTCAGATCCTACCTAGGGCGACAATTGTGCAGGGAGGGGTTGCCTAGCAGCACCCGGACGACAGGCTTCTCTCCGTACTTGGTGGCTCCGGCGTAGTCTCAGCATTCTGGCGAGCGGCGACCATCAGCGGGCTGCCGATCCGCCAGACGCCGCCATTGTTCTTCCTCGCCGCCACTGCTTCTCTTACTGCCATATAGGGTTGGGGGATGCCTCTCTAGAACTCCTAGTCAGAAAAAAGTTCGTAAATTAGGGAAGCCTGCTCTGTTACGCCAGTAATAACCAGGCTGTAGATATCGACCATCCTCCGTTTGCATATCTCTGCACAGGATTTGGAAAACATAAAATGTTTTTGCCAGTTTTACAGATGTCAGAAAGAGCTTGGCGGATACTCTGAAGTAATGAGTTTTGAAGAGGAGGGCAACCACTCAAAGTTAAATACTTTCTGAACCTCCAGTATCTGGGCGTTTGAAGAAGATCCTCATCTGAACCAACTACAGGAAGTTTCATCCTTGCAGGGATTCTCTGAGGAACAGGAAGGTAGGACCTCTGTCTCAAGCTCTTGAAACACTGTTAGTACTTATGAGGTTCCTCCTCTGTGTGGACTCATCAGTGCTTCAGGAGATATAAGCTGGTCTTGAAATTCTACCCTGATAACACATTCTGGTTTTCTTCCCTGTGAGATCTACTTCAGTCTTCAATCATGTCTAAAGCTCTTTCCACAATAAAATAATTTTTAGATGCTATTGAATCTCTGTCCACACCCTGGGCATTCAAAAGGTTACTCTCCTTTGTGAGTTGCTAGGTACCCTTCAAGAGTTCCACTCTGACTGAATTTTTTCCGTACTCTGAGCATTGAAAATGGTTCTCCCTTTTGTGGATGCTTTGATGCCTTTGAAGAGTGTCACCGTAACTGAATTTTTTCCATACTCTGAGCATTCCAAAGGTTTCTCCCGTGTGGGTTCTTTGATGCCGTTGAAGACTGCCACTCAGACTGAATCTCTTTCTACACTCTGAGTATTCAAAAGGTTTCTCCCCTGTGTGGGTTCTATGATGCTTTTGAAGAATGCCACTCAATCAATGTTTATTTACGGTCCAAAGTGCCATTCTCACTGAATCCCTTTCCACACTCTGAGTATTCAAAAGTTTTCTTCCTCGTGTGGATTCTTTGATGTTGTTGAAGAGTGCCACCCAGACTGAATCTCTTTCCACACTCTGTGCACTGAAAAGGTTTCTCCCCTGTGTGGGTTCTTTGATGCCGTTGAAGAGTGCCACTCTCACTGAATCTCTTTCCACACAATGCGCATTCAAAAGGTTTCTCCCCTGTGTGGGTTCTTTGATGCTGTTGAAGATGGGCACTCCGACTGAATCTCTTTCCACACTCTGAGCATTCAAAAGGTTTCTCCCCTGTGTGCGTTATTTGATGCTTTTGAAGAGTGCCACTCTGACTGAATCTCTTTCCACACTCCAAGCATTCAAAAGGTTTCTCCCCTGTGTGGGTTCTTTGGTGCTTCTGAAGAGTGGAATTCATACTGAATCTCTTTTCGCACACTGAGCATTCAAAAGGTTTCTCCAATGTGTGGGTTCTATGATGCCTTTGAAGATTGCCACCATGACTGAATTTCTTTCCACACTCTGAGCATTCAAAAGGTTTTTCCCCTGAATGCGTTCTATGATGCTTATGAAGACTGCCACTCTCACTGAACCTCTTTCCACACTCTGTGCATTCAAAAGGTTTCTCCCCTGTGTGGGTTCTTTGATGCTGTTGAAGAGTGCCACCATGACTGAATCTCTTTCCACACTCTACACATTCAAAATGTTTTTCCCCTGTGTGGGTTCTATGATGCCTTTGAAGAGTGCCACTGTGACTGAATCTCTTTCCACACTCAGAGCATTCAAAAGGTTTCTCCCCTGTGTGGGTTCTTTGATGCTGTTGAAGATGAGCATTCCGACTGAATCTCTTTCCGCAATGTGAGCATTCAAAAGGTTTTTCCCCCACATGGGTTTGTTGATGCCGCTGAAGATGGCTACTCCGACTGAATGTCTTTCCACACTGTGAGCATTCAAAAGGTTTCTCCCCTGTGTGGATTCTTTGATGCCGTTGAACATGGGCACTCCGACTGAATCTCTTTCCACACTGTGAGCACTCAAAAGGTTTCTCCCTTGTATGGGTTCTTTGGTGCAGCTGAAGATTGCCTCTCTGACTGAATTTCTTTCCACACTCCGAGCATTCAAAAGGTTTCTCCCCTGTGTGGGTTCTTCGGTGCCTCTGAAGAGTGGAATTCATACTGAATCTCTTTCCACACTCTGAGCATTCAAAAAGCTTCTGTGCTGTGTTTGATCTTCGGTGTACAAGAAACTGTGTTCTGTATCTGAAGTACTTTCTACAATAAAAGCATTTACATGCCTTCATTATAATGTGGTTTGGAAGAAATACATTACCCTTTCTTCTATTGGAGAATATCATTCCATTCTTAGAGCAGATAAATGGCTTCACCTCTAAACGAGTCCATTGGTGACGGCTTTGGACTGGGATTTCATGGAAGCCCCTTCCCTGGCAAGGAATGGATTTAACCCCTCTCTTCACTGTATGGCTTCCTTCCTGCCTCTGTGGTCCATGTCTATTAATGACGTTTCCTTCGGCCTGTTCATTCTTGGCTTTTTTCAGTGAGAACCTCTGAAATTCCCAAACTGACTCCTCGACATCTCCTGCTGGAATAAAGAGGGAGTTCCAGTCACTGGTCACACAAGAAGCGAAGCCACTCCTGATTCATGAGTGTGCATTTTTGTCTCCAGAGCTGCAGGTCCCAACCTTTCCCTGGCCAGCCCTCCAGTAGACCTGTTTTTATATTCTGACTACCCCTCCCCTCTACGAAACTCCCCAAAAATCCTTTAAGGGAAAAGTGGCAAAGACCTGTTCCTTTTGCCCTTCCCATCTGCCTTGCCAAGCAGGTCTCTTGATGATGAAATACAAAAAGCAATCATGATTTCTAGTCCTGTGACTGTACAGAGAGCTTCCTTCTAGGTGTGATGAGAAAGAAGAGGAGCTGGTCTTCAGACTCTGATAACACATGTCTGCTGGGCTATGGGGAGAAGTCAGGACCTCACCAAGTAAACTCCACAGTTTTAAGGGAACCGCCATGATTTTTGGAAGGGATGCCCATTGTTGGGGGAGGGAGTCTGACTCATCCAGCAATGCTGTTCTGAAGTAAATACCTCACCTTTCCCTGGGATATCTGGTATTTAAGGACAATGCAGCCCCTAAAGGGACTCAAGGAGCCACAAGTGAGCTCAGCCCCAGGAAGAATTCCCAAGATCTCAGGCCCCAAAAGGCCTCCCTCCCTCCTTACCCAGAAAGCTTTATAATTCGACCCAACCCAGAGTTCCTTAGAAGTGAAGCAGAAATCCACCATGGCTGTTCTCTGCCCCTTCCCTTGACAGAAGGATGAAGCATACTCACTTCCAGCCCGTTCACTTGATATGGAAATATTTTGTTGAGATCCTGTTGAGGAAATCTCCACCCCTTCGTCTGTGTGTACTGCAGTCTCTCGTACATCCGCACCTTCTTTGAGAGAGAGAGAGAGAAAAGAGGAGGAAGAGTCACACAAGACCTTTGTCTGTTTCCACCTCAGGCCGTGACACCCACCCTGGCTCCCATGCTGGCGACAACACTGGCCACAGTTGCCCCTGGACCAGCCAGGTGTGTCGGCTGCTTTCACTGCCACCTCGACTCCTGGAGTCCTCCTGGGGGGCCGTGATTACAGGCCCAAGCCTCAGAATGACATACTGCTGCACAATATTTTGATTCACACATTATCACAATGGCAGCCATTCACACCTTTGGCAAAGATCCTTACCCAGAGAGGCCACGTTCCCATAGTTGTCCAGCATGACTTCCAGGTAGAGAGCTCTTTGGCCCGGATCCAGCAGGGCCCATTCAGCCTTGGTGAAATACACGGCCACCTCCTCAAAGGAAGCTGGAAACTGAAAGAAAAAGCAGACTTCCTCATCAGAGATCGTGCCGAGCGAGACTGGCCGCTGGAAAGGGGCATTCTGGGATGGCCGGGATAGAGAGCGTGGCAGGGGCCAAGGGAGTGGCGCTCAGAGCCTCTCTTGCTCAGACACCGTAGAAGCAATGGCAGGAGCAAAAGCCCCCCTGAGAAAGAAGGGGGGACTCAGGCGGTCCCCTGTTCATCTCCCCTACCTGGACTCCAGGGGAAGAAGTTGTTTCCACTTCTCCACAAAGATGACTGCTCGATACCATCTCTTCACTGCCTGTGAGGAAGAGAACGTTGGAAGAACAGGGGTTAGCCTAGACGTTGTATTTTATTTGCTTGTTTGAATCCTGATTCTTTTTTTAAAAAAAGATATAATTTTTTTGGATTTTTTTGAGGAAATACAGAAAAAAGAAAAGGGAAGGGAATAAAAAGTAAAATTACCAAACCACATTATGCAGGGCACTTTTTGCAAATATAAAGGACTATCCTTGATTCAAATTCATAAAGTTTTAGGAAAAATATATAACATAATAATTTTAAAAACCTCTATAGCTACCTACTCAACATTCTACCATTTTCTCATATCAGGGGTGGCCAAATTTGATTAATGTAAGAGCCACGTAGAATAAACATCAGAGTTTTGAGAGCCACAAGACAGAAAAAAATTTTACACACACATTTTTATTGGAAAATAAACAAATTCACTTTTTATTAACATTAAACGAGACTGCCAAAAATAAAAAAAAAAGGGACAAAACCAGATATGGATAATGATATTTATTTGTTTGCTAAATATATTTATTTGTCTAAGAGAGTGAGAAAAGTGGAAAGAATGAAAGAGGTGGAAAGAAAGAGAAAGAGAGAGAGAAAGTAAATAGATGGGGGGAGGTGAAGGGAAGGAGGAAGAGAGAAAGAAACAAAGCAAATAAATGGGGGAGGGGGGAGGGAGGGGAAGGAAGGAAGAAAGAGAGAGAGAGAAAGAGAAAAACAAGGGAGAAAGAGAGAAAGAAGGGAGAAAGAGAGAAAGAAGGATGGAAAGAATGAAATTGGGCACTATTAAACCACTCTCTCAGGCGACCGACTCCCACTCTTTGAAAACCTTATTTCCACTGAAAGACCAGTGTCTATCAGCGGCTGCAGCAACTCTTAATAAAACCAATATGGCGGCAGCTACCAGAGGTCTCTTCAGATGAAGTGGTGACTATGATCGCTCTCTCTAGGGCACTGAAGGGTATAAAAGATGAGATCCTCGCCAATATCTCAAGTTTATTACAACCTTTAAATGCAAGACTTGACAAAAATCTCCTGTTTGTTGATTCAAGTTGAGTAAACTGCAGAAAATACCATGCAACGAAGCCTCCACTCACAGAACGATATTTAGGAACTTAAAAGAAATAATGATCACATGGCAGATCGGATATTGGCAATGGAAATCTCTGCTAGAAATCTGAATATGAAATTCAGAGGCATTAAGGAAGTACTGGAGAATAGTGCTCGTCTTTCATCTTATATGGCAACACGGCTCGCCTCAGAGCTTCCAACTAGAAACGGGGCTGGCGCCCATTATTGTACGGGCCTCCAGAATTGGTGCACTCTTGCAATCTACAAGCAGAGGCACGAGAGACATTTTTGTTACTTTCATGGATCCTAGGGAATGGTTCTTTCCACCATCACGGGGATAAAGTCCTGGTATTTCAGGATCTACACAAAGTAGTCATTGTATGTCAGAGAAACTTAAAGCCTGTTACTAAAAGCCTTGCTACAGCTGGCATCCGATACAAAAGGGTAGCTCCTAGCATGCTACAGATTCTTCATGAAGGTGAAATGCTGTATGCCTCTGATGAGGTCAGTGGTTTACAACTTCTTCGTAGCCTGAATTTACGACCCTCTGATGATCAAACGAAATGATCCTTCAAACGCAAGCAGTTTGGCAATCTACTTGCCGTTCAAACATTTCTAGAGATCAATGGAACAGGATATGGACCTCACCTCTCTTTAAATCTCTCTATTAGCATTAAACTTCAAACCTTAAAAAGGATATTATACCTTTGGAAAAAGTGCAGAAAAGGGCAAGAACTATGAGGAAAGGTGAAAGTGCTCCAAGCTTGGAGAAACGACGACTGAGGGGTGACATGATCGAGGTTTATAAGATTATGCAGGGCTCTTTTTGTAGCAGGAATTCCTTTGCATATTAGGCGACACGCCCCTAATGTAGCCAATCCTTCAAGAGCTTACAGAGCTCTTCTTACAGGGGCTACTGTAAGCTCTTGGAGGATTGGCTACATTAGGGGTTTGTCACCTAATATGCAAAGGAGTTCCTGCTACAAAAAGAGCCCTGAGATTATGCATGGGATAGAACAGGCAGAGAAAGAGGTACTTTTCTCCGTTTCTCACAATACAAGAACTCTAGAACGGATAAAAGGAAGTACTTCTTCACCCAAAGAGTGATTAACACATGGAATTCACTGCCACAGGAAGTGGTGGCGGCTAGAAGCATGGACGGCTTCAAGAGGGAATTAGATAAGCATATGGAGCAGAGGTCCATCAGTGGCTATTAGCCACAAGGTATAGATAGGGACTCTGGGGCAAGTGATGCTCTGTCTTCTTGGTGCTTGTGGGGTGGGGTCAACAGTGGGAGGGCTTCTAATGCCCTAACCCCACTGGTGGACCTCCTGATGGCACCTGGTATTTCTGGCCACTGTGTGACCCAGAGTGTTGGACTGGATGGGCCTTTGGCCTGATCCAACATTGGCGTCTCTTATGTTCTTATGTTCACTGAACATTCTATATCATGGGTACATAACCCCACATCAGTTATCTCTCATGATTCTCACGTGGCCCCCTTACTGTTGGAAGCAATGTGGCATGGTGGTGACATTTGAACACTGCTAGTGGGAATGTCCCTTCATCAACACATTCTGGCTTCATGTACTTGAACATATTAAAACTACTACTGGACTTAGTTTGCAAATTACACCAGAACTCATCTTCCTAAATCACTGGCCTGACCTGGAACACCCAATTTCTAATAGAGATCTAATCGCAACTTTGTTATTAGCGGCTAAAACAACCATTGCTTCCAAATGGGGAGATAAATCTAGACCCTCTCTTACACTGTGGCACTCAAAACTCCGGAATCTTTTCATAATGGAAAAAAAATTACTGACCGACTGATTCACTCTAATAATCACTCCTCTCAATCCAAGTTTATTGCAAAATGGTCTCCTGTTACTGAGTATATGTCTACTCATGACATAGTTCCACGGAGATGTCAACCATTGAACTTATTATTGTTTTAATGTCTTATCACACTGTTGTAACTTTTCGTGTTTTATACTAGATAGTCATCTTTGAACAAACGCTGTTATTATCCCTATTGAGGTTCTTGAGACGGTTCCTATCTCAGGCAGGGCTCTTTTTGTAGAAAAAGCCCGGCAGGAACTCATTCGCATAATAGACCACACCCAACAGCAGAAACTCATTAGCATATTAGGCCACACCCCTGACAACACAGCTCATTAGCATATTAGCATCCCCATGTTACCAGAAGTGTAGTCATCCAGCCACACCCACCTTTTGCTTGTTATTCTGTTTACCCTGTTTGTTTTCAAAACCCAGGGCTTTTCTTGTAGCAGGAACTCCTTTGCATGTTAGGCCACACACCCCTCACGTAGCCAATCCTAATGAGTTCCTGCTGTTGGGTGCGGCCTATTATGCTAATGCGTTCCTGCTGGGCGTGGCCAACTCAGGAGGCAGCCGGAACTCTGTTCCTGTGCGTTCCTGCCCAAAAATAGCCCTGCCTATCTGTATCCCTGGTATTTTCATTGATGCTGTTGTCACAAGTTCACGCTTCTATACAAGTGTCTGTTGAGTCAATAAGTATTGATGTCATATTATAACTTTTTGCATTTATTTCATATACTACTTTATTTCTCTATGTACTCCTTTATTCTTACAGTACAGATATTACTCTGTCGACCATGATATATTGTTACATCTTATGTTATTATTTGATCTACCACAATGAAAATAAAGTTTCAAATTAGTTTCAAATTAGATTTTAACCCACTGAAGTTGGGTTCCACCGCCCCCCCCCCCCAATTTATAATGCACCTTCTGTCATTTAGGTAAAGGTAAAGGTTCCCTTGCTCGAAAGCCAGTCGAATCTGACTCTAGGGTTGCGGTGCTCATCTCCGTTTCAAAGCCGAAGAGCCAGCGCTGTCCGAAGACGTTTCCGTGATCATGTGGCCGGCATGACTAAACACCAAAGGCGCAGGGAACACTGTTACCTTCCCACCGAAGTGGTGCCTATTTATCTACTTGCAATTTCTTGCTTTCAAACTGCTAGGTTGGCAGGAGCTGGAACTAGAGATTTACTGGAGCTGGAACTGTCATTTACTGGTAAGCAAAATAAGCAAAAACTAAACAGAGAGACGAAGATCCAGAAAGAACTGCAAACATAACTTTCTTTAACTGTCTCAATAACTTCCTTTAACTTTTATTCAGAGTTGTGTTAAATGTAGGTCAAGTATTGATCCAGGCTGATCTTGCGCAATCTTTAAAACTCCGCTCTTGCTCATTAGTGAGACCAATTGGGGCTGGTGATCTACCTCTGACCCCTCCGTGATCTACTGGTAGATCACGATCCACCTGTTGGACATACCTGAGTTACATGATAAAACATGGACAACCTTATAAAAATTTGAATATCATCTTAACATAACAGTTTGTTGTGAGAAGAATCAGTCTGTAACTTTCATCTATATATCTAATAGCGAAGGCGCCCCCTTGCGTACGGATACTTATTTCTGCGCATCGGGGGCACCTGGGGGGGAGGGAGATTTTCGTGCACACTTGGGGCAGTCCCCAGGTGTGCACAAAAATCTGAAAAGTTGGAAAAAATATCGGGGGGATACTTAAATCCCCCCAAAAGTAACAGAGCGTCCCCTCCGCATGCGCAGGGAACGCTCTGCAAACTGCCTCGCCAACGCTGCTTCGGAGCTGGGGGGAGGGGGGGAGAGACCAGCGAGGCCCGAGTGGCTTGCAGCCACCGGGCCTCGCTTCGGAGCCAAGGGGGGGGAGAGACCAGCGAGGCCTGAGTGGCTTGCAGCCGCCGGGCCTCGCTTCGGAGCAGGGGTGGGGGAGAGACCAGCGTGGCCCGAGTGACTTGCAGCCGCCGGACCTCGCTTTGGAGCCAAGGGGTGGGGAGACCAGCGAGGCCCGAGTGGCTTGCAGCCGCCGGGCCTCGCTTCGGAGCCAGGGGGGGAGATTGAGCCAGACTACAAATGTTGGTTATAGTAATAATAGAAAACTTGCCAGTTATTTTCAAATTCGTCTTTCAGTCTCTGATTAATGAAGTTTGTCAGTTTTGCCATAGCAGCATACTCTTGCATTTTGTCTACATACTTCTCAAGAGTTGGACAATCTTCTATTTTCCATTTGAATCCTGCTTCATGCACCCCTGTCCCCATGGCTGTGAAACCTTGCCCTGTGTACACTCAAGAAAATGTGTAACGATTGTGAGTAAACTCGAGGGAGAGGTGGAAGAGAAGCACCAGGTTTCTATGCGCCTCAAGGGGGGGGGGGGTGTGGATAACACATTTCAGATTTCTGTGACACTTGGAACTTATCCTGTGAACCCCAGAGCTCAAAGACTGCAGAAACCAGCATCCGTGCTCAATCAGACCAAAAGCCCCGGTGCGCCATTCTCCCACTGGCTGGGCCCTCCCGCATGCCCTTGAGTCTGGGCTTCTGGGAGAAGGCGTGAAGAAATGAGGTCAAACTGTACATCACAATCCCATCTGTCCAAAAACCCAGATGTGACGTTAGCACATCTGAAAAATCTAGGGTAATATCAAGGAGTTTCTAGACTGTCTGCTGATGCTCTGATGTCACAGGTCTAGATTTTCAGCAGGACACAACACCATGACAACCACATCCACCCCTGGCCCCACCCCCAAAGTTCCCAGGGATGCCGGGTTCACTTTCCTTTTTTGAGCCACCTTGAGTCCCTCTAACGGAAGGTATGTGAGAAAGGAATATTTTAGTTAACACATGGAATTCACTGCCACAGGAAGTGGTGACAGCTACAAGCATAGACGGCTTCAAGAGGGAACTGGATGAACATATTAAGCCACAAGGTATAGGTGGAACACTCTGTCTGGGGCAGTGATGCTCTGTATCCTTGGTGCTTGTGGGGCAATAGTGGAAGGGGTTTAGGCGCTCTGGTCTTGCTGGTGGACCTCCTCGTGGCCCCTGGGTTTTGGCCTCTGTGTGACACAGAGTATTGGACTGATCCAAACTGGCTTCTCTTCTGTTCTTATGTCCTAATGAGAATGGAATTGCGCTCCACAAATCTGTATAATTCTCCCTTCCAGTGAATGGCTACCATGGGACTGAGCCTCAGCCGTGTGGTGTGCAGAAGTATTTCTTTTTTCTCCTCTCCCGAACCTTCTATCCAGCAACTTTACAATGTGCCCAGATTTGGGCACAAGGCACCCTTACCACGTGAGAGGGCATCCTGGGCACGCTCCGGGGCCTGCACCCACTGCTCCTCCTCCGAAGGAGGTCCTTCCTCCTCAGAGAACTTTGCTTCCATCTTTACAGGTCTTCCTCTCATCTGAAACAGCAGTAAGAGAGACAGGCAAGAGGAGGAATGCTAAAAACTAAGGAGGAAAATCCTGCCCCATCCCCATCCTCACCCCTGTCTTGATCAACAGAGCTACTTCAAAGGAATCAGGGTTGTGGTTGTCTGTCAACCCTGGTCAAGTGTCTGGAGGAATACATATCGGGCAGAGAGGCCTTAGGCTAAGGTCGGAGATTACAGCTTGAATGGACCACATGAAGCTCCCTCACCTGTCCTGCCTGCTCCTCTGCCTGACTCAGGAGGAAGCCTTCGGCCAGGGCCACCGCCTGGGAACTGGTCTCCGGCCCGCATCCTCTGACCCAGTCCTGCATTTCCTTGGGTAGAATGGCCAGGAACTGCTCCAGGATCACCAGGTCCAGCATCTGCTTCTTGGAGTGCCTCTCCGGCTCCAGCCAGTGGCTGCAAAGTCCATGGAGCTGGCTGCAAACCTCCCGGGGCCCAGCGGCCTCATGGTAGCGGAACTGCCGGAAACGCTGGCGATGTTCCTCTGAGACCCCGGTGTCCTGATGCACCGCTCTTTCCCAGAATCCAACACCACTCCACACCTGGATGGGATGGGGGTCTTCCCTTGACGTCTTGCCGATTCCTGGTCCTTCTGGGTCCTGCTCTTCCATCTCCTTCCCCTTCTATTGGGTTGCCTGCAAATGCAAAAAGATGCCTTTACTTACCCGGCATAAAGAGGGAGAAGATATCCCAAGGGCAGACAGGAATGTTAAGTAGAAGAAGAAGAAGAAGAAGAGATTGGATTTATACCCCGCCCTTCACTACCCAAAGGTGTCTCAGAGCGGCTTACAAACTCCTTTCCCTTCCCCTCCCCACAACAGACACCCTGTGAGGTAGGCGGGGCTGAGAGAGCTCTTGACAGAAACTGCTCATTTCCAAGCACAGCTCTTATCAGAACTATGGCTTGCCCAAGGTCATCCAGCAGCTGCAAGTGGAGGAGTGGGGAATCAAACCCGGTTCTCCCAGGTTAGAGTCTGCGGACTTAACCACTACACCAAACTGGCTCTGTAGATGGAGCTACAAGTCCTGCCGCCCCAGAGAGTGGACAAAGAGAAAATTTTCTCCCTCTCTCAAAATACTAGAACTTGAGGGCTGATGGTCAGTAGACTCAGGACAGAATACTTCTGTACACAGAGAGTGATTAAAATGTGGAATTCGCTGCCACAGGAATAAATAGCTTTCATAGGGGACTAGAGAGATTCGTGGAGGATAAGTCTCTCAATGGCTACTAGCCATGGCGACTGAGGGGAACCTCCACATTCAGGGGCACTAATCCTCTGACTCCCAGAGACAGGAGGCGGCATCAGGGGAAGGCCTCGGCCTCTCTGCCCTGTTGCTGGCCCTCCAGAGGAAGTGGTGTGGTCACTGTGGGAGGCAGGAGGCTGGACCAGATGGACTCTTCTGGTGTGATCCAGCAGGGCTTTTCTGATGTTCTCACTACAGGGGCCCTGTTGCTGAGGCCACGATCCTCATGGTGATGTGTCCCCAGGTGCCCTTCTTTGTCCCTCCTGGCCTTCTGGACGGAGTGGGGGGGGGGGGAGGCGTGGGTCTCTGCCTGTCCCAGGGGAGTTGCCTTGGGCTGTGACTCAGGGGCATGGGGGTGTCTCCATCGACACCAGGGGCCTTGCTAGGCTCTCTCTGCCTCCGCAACTGGTTGTTGTTGTTGTTTTAAATTCCCCTTTCCTCTGCTGCGGGGCCTTGGAATACCCACTAGCAGCCCCACCGGCCCCACAGTGGCACTGGGTCTTAGGATGGGGCTGTGGTTGATTCCCATTCCTCCCTCTCTCCCCACAAGTGCCACTGGACTCTCAATCTGTTCTCCCCCCCCCAACACACACACATACACATGCAATGACCTTTTCCACTTATAGACAAATTAAGGCTCTTCGCCTCCCCCCCCAGAACTGAAACCACCAGCAACAGTTTCATACATTTATTTCTTCTTGTACTTAAAGACATTGA